ATGAGCTATCTCCAAAGAGAATTTACCAGAATGCATTCCTTACAAAACTTACAGTTGCTCTGGCACATGCAGGTGGAATTTAACACAGGAAAAAAGAATGGTCCATGCTGGCTAGTGAACAATTTACTGCTGTAACATTGCCAGGCAATGTTAATTTCATTTATTTGGTGGAGAAATCATACAGCAACAAATTAGATAAGTAATCATTCTTTTCTGCTTGTTAGGCCTTATGAAAAAAAAACATTTATGAGAAGCCAACCTACCTGTCTGGCTTTCAAAATCAGTACTGGGAAAAAAGCCAGCCTTCTGCACTCTGCTCCTCCTCTAACAACTACACACCCCTTATGCAACATAAATTTGTCTCACTTCTTTCACCCACAATATTAGCACAATGGATCTTTCTTGAAAATCTGTCCCTTACCACTACAAGAAAACTCTTCAACTACTCCTCCTTCCCAGCTTCATTTGATCCTGACCTTTGCCACAGGACATCTATCTTGAACACCAACAAACTCCTCTATCACTAAGAAAGCAAATAAGCATACTAAGCAGGCTATCAGAGAATAGTTTGCATAGACAAAATCAGAGACACACTCAAGAGAAGAAAATAAAAGGAGCAGTGACACAGTAAAATCACAGCCTAAGAAAAAAGGAAATTTATTATAAATCCTTTATTTTTTAATTGACAGAAGCACTAACTAAGGGCCATCACTATTACAGGTTTTAAACCTGAAGGTGTAAACATGCATTGTTATTACTTCAGTTCACCCAAAGTCTGAATTACACTACACAATCTCTGCAAGCAGAAATTGTCACCATTCACTGCAGACCAGCGTCATCCAGCTCTTTGTTGCTGGAGCAAAGTGTCTCTGAGCCCAAGCCCGCAGAGAACACAAAAGTACTGGCTAAATGCCACTGAGGATGCACTGCAGCAGTGCAGCAATGCCAGCAGACCTGCTGACCTAAGGCAACTTTGTTACGTATTGATATAAAAGCTCAGAGTAGAGACGTGCAGTGTCAGCAAAACCTGTGACAAGTGAAATTTTCAGTAAGACACTGCAATTTTTAGGATTTTACGGCCGGTAATGGTCAGTGCAGTCTTGGCATAAAGTGCCTATCTAGAGCTTTCAATACAGCTCTTCAGCAGATGGAGGAGAATCCTGAATGTTAGCAACTACAGTATCTTCCCTTTTCTGCCTTACACAATAACAAGAAGCCTACCTGAATTCAGCTCCATACATCTACTGAAAATAGTACCAGAATTACGTGAAAGTAGATCTTTGTGGGTCCCTTGCAAGTCAGGATAATTTGTGATTCTGTCATTCTAAACCACAAATAAAAACTCACTAACGGGTGTTAGGTCCGTACTTAGACTGACCTTATGGGTCTTTTCCAACCCAAGTGATTCTAGGATTCTATGATTCTATGAAAGTAATATACAAATTTAGATATTCTTGATGTTTGTGTTTTAATTCAAGATGCTTATACCATTGTGAATTACAACCAAACCAGAATGGACTTGCTGGACATCTTACATGGAGTATGCATACATACAGACCATATCTCTATATATTCTATAAAATTACATATATGTGACTGCATGCACTACACATATAGTGAGTAGCTAGTAATTACAGTTTTATTCTAATAGTAATATAACATATAGTAGCTAATAAATGCATAATCAGTGTAGTCCCCATCTAGAGATGCTGGATACACTCACATTTTCATCACAGGACCACTTACATTTTAACCCTGTTTCTCCTATAGCTGTGCCCTCAGTCTCAGACCCCTGTAAGTTCCAAACCTTCTTCCAGTCTGTAGATGAAATGTGCTGCTGTTGTGCCACCACTCTCCTGTGAACCAGAACTCCCTACCATATATTGATAGATCAAAAGCAGAACAAACTTACACATGGCAATAAGGCCAGCTCCTTTAGAGCCCCATCAGCCTTTTCTGCTGCCTGATTCACCATGCTTGACAATGAACCAGAACCAAACACCAAAATCCAGGGAAATTGCCTTGGTACCTCCAACATAAATGTTCCTCAATGCACATAAAAGCTTGCATTCAGCTGTCTTTCACACCTACATACCATTAACAGTCCACTTTCAGCCACCATAAACTAAAGCTTTTCTCCTCTCCATGTGACAAACTTTCCAACTCTTCTAACCTGAAGATACTCAAAATCTTGTTACGAGTCCACAGCTTTATACTCAGTACCATTTACAACTAATGTCAAAACAATTGAACAGTCATCTGTTCATAATGCTGAAAGTTAAGTAATTCATTAGCAAACATGGCATTTGTAGCTAACACTAATAAATTAACTTGCCGTTAAAGCTAATATGAAATCCACAGTATTCTGTGACTAAGAAAAAAATATGGTCAAAAGCAAATACCATGTTTGATCAAAGGCTGTTTCAGCTGTACCTTTATTTGTCACACTTCCTACACATTCTCCACCCTCATCTTTACAGAGGATTATTGTAATGATTAACACTGAACAATCCTGTGTGAGGAAGAGGGAACCATTTCACTTAACAAATGCTTAAGTGAGGTAAGAGAAAAATTACACATAATTTCATTTGTTTTACCAAGCCTTGCTCCAAGCCACTAGCCCTTGAATACATTCCATGTATTTCACCTTCTGTCATTTTCTTGTTTTTCCAAAGATGGACTGATCTTGCACATGTCCGTGACAACCTGTTTCTAGTTTTGTATAACTGGAGGGATAGAAGGGTGCTCAAGCTGACGGGTTTGTTTGAAATAAGGGTCCCTGCCAGATGAGATTCCAAGTATCACTTTTAATTACGCTTTGGTATGAATTGGGAGTTTTTGTATTTTTGGCAACTACTTAAGAGTGTTCACATTCTAAATGTAACTGAGTTTTGAACATAGCATCCATTCAAGAAGAAAGGGTAAAATAAATACTTCTACCTGACTAAGAGACAGTTGTACATAAATCCACTTTTGCAGCAGAGGTAAGACAGACCAAAATGCATCTGGGAATGCACAGGTATTGCACCCCTGAGGCCTGCTATTACAGGTAACAGGCAGCATGAAGGCATTAGACATAACTGTTTCTCAGCAGCAGACCTCAGTATGACCTCTGTTCCCATAACCTTCTACCTTCCCCAAGTATCCAGACAGCAGGTACCATTTGTTCCATCTATGAACAATCAATCAATTTAGAAATTGCATGAGGTTTCCATGGAAAAGACCACACAAATCCTTTGGTATTAGCTTAACCTAGCTCATTTTTATCTAATATGAAAATGCAGCCTAACATGGAAGGCTTCTCTTCAAGATTCCCCACCGAACCTCCTGCTTCAGAAGACAGAACTCACACAAAGTGAGCTAAACACAGCTCAGTCCCTAAGACAGTTACAGTTCAGCATATTTAATGTCTTGTTCTCTTAAAGCCACACACTACTACTCTTACAGACACAAAAATGATGTTGAAAGTGACTACAACATGCCTGTTTGAAGGTTTCATTCCAAGCATACTACCCAGCAGCTACCCAGGGTAGCATTCCAGTTCTTTATGCTGAAACTCGTGGATTTGAAAAATGGCCAAGATACCTCATACTCAGAAGCGCATGTCACCATAAAACACAGTTTGTCTAGTCTGGCTCTGTCTCTATTAGAGACCCTTGCTTCTCATGAAAGCCTGGATTCAGAAAGCCATGTCAAGGCAGATAGCATCTGGCTCTGCTCTTTCCCCACACTGGATTGCCCGAGGAAGGACTTACTAGACATACAATACAGAACTTTCATGCCAATAATCTCTGAGGCATTTCAGCCAAAGAGTACATACCAGCTTGAATACTGTGACTGTCCTTGTGTTTCTGCTGTTTCTTTCTTCACAGTAATTGGCTGTCTGCATATTCCTACACACTCATTCCGCCAGGACTGACAATACAACAGGAGACTAACAAGCTTCAGGCACTGCTTTCTTGTTAGTACTAAAATAAGATCTATGCAAGCATAATCCTGTCAAGAATTAAGATAAAGACCTCTGGAAAGGAGCTCACAGATTTGCATTTCATTCCTCAGGATGCTGTGGATCATTTTATCTGCTAGATGGAAGATGAAACATGGGTGTACATGATTTATACTCCACACACTGTAGTTTTTATGAAATCACAGAAGAATGCAAGTGTAAGCAAAATGAGACCAAAGGACTTCTCAATTTACCACCTAACTTTATGAAGAATATTATTTCTTTCTAGCTTCCTCCTCCCATTAACTCTATACAGATAATGAGTGTATCTTGCCTTAAATTAAACTAAATATATGAGGAGGGGGCACTTATTTAACAACAATACTTTACACTCACACTCAATCCAGCACTACTAGATAGGGTGGGGTCCAGCACTGCTCCACTATGGACACAAAGCGGCAAGGATGCTGAAGATGTATACAGGATCCTTATTTTGCCTTCGTAATTTCCCAATGCATATACCACTAGCCCCGACTTGTTTTTCCTAACTTCTTTTTATCACCTCTCATCTGCACTCCCGGTTAGGGTCTGTCTTGAACAGCAGACTCTGAGTTGCCCGAGGCCGGGTATGCCCAAGGAGCACAAACCCGAGAGGCTGGGCAGGCTCCTGCGGCGCAGATCACCGCTGCCCCGGGTGCAGCCTGCCGGCGCAGGAGAGCGCTGCGGCGGGAAGGGCTCCCAGCGGCGGCCGTCGCTCGCTTCCCCTTTCAAGCTGCGGCTCGCCACAGGTCCCCGGGGCGCGGGGGCGGCCCCTCGCTCCGCCGCACGTCCCCGCCGCCCGGCGCTGCCCCGGCTCCGCAGCGCCCCGCGGCAGGTGCTGCCCCATCCCTCCGAGGGCCCCCCGGCGGCCCGGCCCCGCTCCCGCCGCCGGCCGGACACCCCGCGGGGGCTGGCAACCCCGGCCCGCCGCCAGGGGAAGTTTCCCGGCGGTGGAAGGTAGGAGGGTCCCGGCAGGCGGCCCGGGACGGGGCCGGGCGTGGCGCGGTGCACTTACAGCCGTTTCTCCTGCGGCTGCAGCTGCCGGTGCATGGCCAGCGAGAAGCCGAAGAGGCTGCCCGTCTCCCCGCTCCAGCTGATCACGTTGTCCGTGTCCAGGTTGAAGGCGCCGGCCAGCCCCGGCAGAAGGGGCAGGTAGAGGACGAGCAGGGCCGCCATCTGCTCTTGCCCGGCACGGGAACCTGCTGCCAGCACCGTCGCCGCGCCCCGCGCTAAGCGCGCCCGTTGTGCCGCGCCGGGCCCGCCCCGCCCCGCCCTCCGTGGGTGCCCGGCCCCCGGCACAGCACAAAATGTCCCCGGGCCGGGCCCCTTCCCCTGGGAGGGGCAGCCGAGGGCGTAGCCCCGCCCGTGAGTCGCCCACCGCCTCCCGGGGCCCCCAGGGGGTTCACCGTCTGTCGCGCCCCCGGACTCGGATATCTTTGCCCTTCGCGACGCTAAATAAAGCCGTACTGAGGGGCGGGTCACGGCCGCAGGTGAGGACCGGGCCGTGGCCCGCGCGCACCGTTGGGGAAAAGGGCAGAGAGCTCCCATGGCGGGGGCGGGATGTGTTTGAGACTTCACACCGTGCCCCCTTGCGGGGCTGATGCCGCTCTGGCTGCTGCTCAGCGGCATCAGGTCGGTCAGGGCAGCGACCACGGGCATAACACATTGCCCAAGTGTGCTAAGGTTGATCCAGAACTATGGACAGCATGACCCCAGTATTCAGTCTGTATTCCCCAAACAACACATGCAAGAGAAGAAGGAAAAAAAGAAAAAAGTATCTCTCTTCCAGATTATTCACAGACCACATGAGAACAGAGACTGGAGACTACCTGAATCTGCTCCTCCTCCAGCATGTCTTATCTCTGAACACATCTGAAAATTTCTTACTCCTACCTTTTAATTGTTCAAAAACGGTATGTGGGTTTGTATACCCGGTCATTTTCTCTTACGCTTTCACCCATAACTCCAAAAGGTTATTTGCCAGCATACTTTATCAACTTAATCCACTCCAGAGAAAGAAGGGGGTTTTGGGTTTTGAACAGAATCTTGGTTTAGTGCTCTGGATTAGGGAAGCAGATGCAAATTTTAAAAACCTCACAAATTCCAAGCAGCATAACAATACTCAGTTGTTCTTTTCTACTGATATCCAGGGTACAAAGAGAGAGGCTAAGATTCCAGAGAAACTGAGAAAGAGCAATTGAGACAGAGCACTCAAATATGTTGATACTCCAAATAACTTCTCCTGAAACAATATTCTGCTCCCACGGAGTTAATCCAAGCTACTTTTTCCAGAGTAATTATTCTAGGATAGCTTCGTGTATAGGCAAGTCTTTGGCTCAAGCCCAAAACACCCTTGATCAAAAGAGGGGAAGAAAATGCACCAGAAATGTGTTTCTAATGTGGAAACAAAACATTTTGTTAAATTAGGCACCCAGATATTTATTGCTAATAGAGTCCTTCCCTGCTTGCCCCTCCATGCCCAACTCCTTCAAAGTCTTAATCCAGTGCTCAATCACTGCCACAGCAGAAAACTCTACTGGCATAAATACTGCCCTAGTTTCACTAAAGGACCTGTGAGGGAAGGGTCCCAGACTAATTACAAGCTGTTTTCCTACAATCCACGTATTTCACAGTAATTAGTAATGATTTGAAAACAAGTCCTTTAAAACAATGTTGACATCCATACCAAAGACTTAGCAGTTTGCCTTTTGGAACAATCAAAACTTGCGTCCTTCTAATACTCTTACAGTAACTATAGTTACTTTTTAAGTAATGCTTGTAGTCAACAACTTGTGAGAAGTCACAGAAGTACTTTCATCCAGAGCTTCCTGAATGATACTGCACATGAGGTTTATCTGACTTCTCCCCCTCCCTCTAACCAGCACTGCCTGAGCATGTTGTACCTGTTTGTTCATATCCACAGAGATTGCTGAGGGGAGACAGAATTTTCTCATCTCCAGATGCAGTAACAAGCATTCCAAGACACAGTAACATTAATACTTGTCTCAAGGGATCACAGCAAGAATAACAAAAATAGAGTGTATACAGGGTGGAGCAAAACTGCATACGAACAATTTAGGATTACCTTGGACGGTCTCTCATAATTTCGTACTATTTTCATTTGCTCTAGATGAGGAGAGAGAGAAAAAAACAAAGTTTTACAAATATGTCAGTTTCCTTCCTTTGCTCTTCCTCCAAAACAAACATGCTGTGAGTTATCTGTAGCTAACACATACTTCAGGAATTCCTCTTTTGTACAATCCTGGTATAAAGGGGGACCATGTGAAGATTAGGTATGATGGCCAATTAAACATGAGCACTCTGTTATGTGTAATAACACAGCGATTCTAAGAAATGCAATGGCCAGATGAAAGCAGTTTGTCTTTTTTGTAGCAAACGCTCTGCTCTTGCTGAGTTTTCAAGCTGTCTGCTTATTAATGGTGTGTTGATACTCAGCTGAAGGGCTGCAAGATGTTTGCATGTTGTGTCTACAAAATGAGCAAGCCTCAATGTGTAGACACACGTATTACTGCCAGCAATACTTTCCTCCTCTATGCAACTGTGTAGCTAATTACAAAGTTTAAAAAAATTCATTTCTGGAAAATAAAAGAGGTGGAATGCAGAAGCTACAGCTTTGCAAGACGTTTTAAGGGTTTCCCTAGAAGAAAGGCAAGGCACAATGTTTTACATTTCTGAAATTCTGTCCTTTGTATCAACAATATGCTACACAAAGAAATACACAATTTGTGGATGTTCAGCTGTTCAGCAGCACATCAAATGCAGCACATCAAATGGTTCTGAAAAGACAAAATATGTAAACATCCCCATCTCATTTCCTTTTAAAAAACTGCTTGATTTTGTAATTTCTTAATTTATGTCATTCCAGATGAAAAAAAAAAAATGATACCACCAAAAAAGTTTGATTTGGTTCACTATACAAGTTCCAAAGTAGAGTGTTGTTTCAATTCAGAAATATAAACCAGGTTTAAGTGTTAGTAGCCTGAATGGTTGGATGGTATCTCCTGAACACAATATGCATACCATTTCTAGAACTGCATGTTCTAGAAAAATCATTTACATTTATTGAACAGATGCATCTTAACAGCTACAAGAAACACCTGCATTTTTATGCAGCCAGGTTATCAAACTATCTTTGCCAGTATATCTTCACAGCTGTTCTTGGTTGTCTAACCATCATTAGAAAAAGCAAACAGCAGCACAGGAGATAAAGGGGCTTAGAATAGTAAGTGAAATAAACTGCTCAACACTATATAAGAAATATGTTTTGCTTTAAACAGTCTAAATCCAGAGCATTAAAATAGTTATATTTATGCACTTGTAAACTGGATGCACACGCATTTATAACTGGATGAGGAATGTCTCAGTCTCTCTTTCTCTTTACTATCTTTTCAGAAAGGTTACCAAAATGCAGCTTTTTTACTAGTTGCTCTATTTAAACTACAGTTCCAAATGAAGGTGTTACTATGTTCCTATAACTTCCTTTTTTCTCTTTGGTGTCTAAAACAACAAGATGACATTCTGCCATCCTTTACTTGCTTGTAATGTCAAAATATTTTACCTTGGTAGACATAGTATTACACAAATAAAAATATGAGCCAAAAGAAATATTTCAGTCCAGACCTGGAATTTTGGTGAACACTGAGAGCAGTATATACAGCAGTTCTTTCAGTCTTTTACGTCTAAAGAATGTTTTTCCACCCAAGTTGTCAGGTACATTCCTTAAGTAGTTTTAGAATGACGAGAACTGTTTGGAGAGTAAACATCTGTGTAAACATACATGGAGGCACTTTATGAGCGTAGCTGGGCAGAGATCAGAGAAACACTGGTGACAAATGGGAATCAAGCAGCCACAGTTTGGATTTCTATGAGAGGAATTAAAGATACGCCTTCAAAATTACTTACAACTAAGGCATAAAATTGCAGTGATTTTGAATGTATACCTGTGCTTTTAATTCACTAGTAACATACACCACTAGGTAAGATTTGCCCCACTGTAAGGTAGGATGAAGCTGAAACATCATTATACACATCACAGGCACCTTTGCAGCCCCATTCTCTGGTTCTCTCTGAGAGACATTTATAACCCCAAGCTCTTACATTACCACAGCTGAAACTTGTATCACTGACTGCATCCCAGACCTATCTATACCATTCATGCTTTCCTTGATCTGCCATATGTCCTGCACATGAAACCTTGCCTCTCTTGGAGAACTTTTCACCAGTGTAGAGAGACATGACATAACCTGATATCAGATACTAACTTTTGTGTAGTTCTAGCCAACTCTCCCTCAGTTGCATCTTCCAACTAATTTGCACCACAGCAGCCAACAATGGCTTATAAGGAAGCAGAGGAGATCTAAAAGATAAACAAGGTATTTCTTAGGTAGGTGTTGGCAAGGAGGGAAGAGAGAAGGCTTTCAAGCAAGTTATTCACAGGATCTCCCTGGAGATTTTCCCCAGCAATTTTGAAAGCAAGACAAATCTTCACAGGACATATTTTAACCCCATCAAGAGCCAGAAAGGATTATTGTTCAGGACATTTCCTAGCTCACAGAGACCTTACCAAAGAGTCTTTGGCCATCACCCAGGACACAATTCCACACAACACTGATAGCACTTACCTCCAAGGACTGCACTAGGTGCGGGTGCTGATGCTGGACAGAACCTGGCCATGGGACAGAACCTGCAAGGCACAAGATCAGGAACTCCAGTCACTCAAGGACTCTGGTCTCTAGGTCACAATCTAGTTTATTGTAACAGCACAGCTGAGATCCTGAGTGCCTCTGGCAGCAAACGGAGGGAAACAGCTGCTTGGTCATTTCCACACTTGCTACACCTGTCCTCCCATCAGGTCCTGGATCAGACCCAGCTGTGAGGCCAGCTGGCTGTTTGGCTTCCATGGGGGAGGTAAAGCTCCTTCAGTTTGCATAGAGGCTTCCAGTGATTCACAAGAACCATGCAAAGAAATCCAACTTCTTTTTTTTCTAATAGATTTAATTTTTTCTATAGCCACTCTCTTTAAAAATTCTACTATTTTGGCACTACAGCCAGCTCAATTACATGTGCCAACCAAACTGTGTCTGCCACTGATGCAACAGGACCTGTGGTCAAGACATGTTTAAACGTGGTGTTCAGACAGCTGCAGACCAAACCAGCAAGGGCTGCTTTTCTGGTTAAGGTCTAAAGCTAGCAGTCTCAGAAAGATACTTCTTCTACTTCCTTTACTCTTTCTTTGCTAATAGAAAACATGTCTTCATTTTTTTTTTTAACAAAAAATAAATCCAACAAACATTCACTTTTCTCTTTACATTAACATCCTGGTTTCTGAAAAAAAAAACTGGACAAGACAGACTAGAGCACCACAGGAATCTTT